TTGATGGGTTTTTGCCATCCGTCGAAACTTTTGCCACCCGTCGAAACTTTCGCAGTTTTGCCTTTAAGAAAAAAATTCGGCAAAACGTTTCGATGGGTTTCGATTTCGATGCCTGTCGAAACCTCCGGGTTTTGCCCGGCAACCTTAGACCGAATTATAAAAGATATTAGAAATGAGAGCGCAGAAAATGACGTCTTAAAGATCGCTGTAAGTTTTTTGAGAAGACAAGAAGACGTGACTAGACTCGATGGATATTAAAAAAAGAATCTTTTAAATGACCATAACTTCGAGTTAATGTATTTCTTATTTTACTTTATTGAACTCTTGGTTATATCCTAAAACCCTATCTCGAGTTATCTTTCAACACAAGGAAAATAAATGATATTTATACGAGTTAAATACTTATAATAAATATAAGAAACATAATAACTCTACTAAATAACATACCGGTCAACATCGTTAATGAAGTCGGGTGACTGGCTGCAGACATGGGTCACGACTTCACCATATAAAACCGGAGTTAGAATTAGAAATAAATACATCGCAAATTTCGTGCCCATATACTCATTTATACAAATATTTTTTTTTACATGTTAATATTTCGTCGAACTTTCCGTCTCTTACGTGCATGTATAACTTCCAAATGCTTGTGAATCTCGTTGAATGTTTATGAACATATTGGGAGGTAAGCTTTTAAAATCACGTTACGGATCATATGATTTACTATGTTCGTAACTCGATTTTAATAGCAAACCTCCCATATATTACAAACCAATTGTGTATTTTCGTCTCCTGATCCCGAAGACTCTGACGATTCCTGTGATTAAATCATAGAATATAAGAACGAATCTATGGCAAAACAATAAAAATGAACAACCATTCGCGATATTGCTTCTTCTATCTTCCATACTTACAGCTTAAAACCTGGCAAAGCATCGTCTCCATCTAAGTCTTCCCAAGCACGGTGACGATGAAAGACATTGTTGTTTGAGTTTCGCTTGTAGACCCGATCTGCTTGTTAAGAGGATTGATTAGCCATCCGAGCTCAACGGATGTACCTGACGCAAAATATGTATCTTTGAATCTTGAATCAAGAGTTTTGTATTTCACTATTTATGTCATCAACCTCCACGACAAGCATAGGGCTAAATGGTTCGCCTCGAAAAGAGGAACCTTGCCCTTGAGCCAGATTTCGATAAATAGTTTTTGGCGTAAAGGCAACAAATGGCCTAAGTTAATTTTAACCGGTTAAAGATTTTTAGGCCGGTTATTCTTCGGTTTCGGTCACATATTCTTCCGGCGGTAGTGATACCCGCTTCGATTACGGTATCATAAATCACGTCGGGTAGCGTTTTATACGTCCATTTTGAAGCATTAAATGGATGCGGCCGGTCATAATGCTGCTGCACATCATCGTTGTATTTTCGTTTTCGTTGAATTTTATCAATAAAAACGTGAACTAGTCCGGTGTGTCTCTTGAAAAACCTGCAAGGAAAGATATTCTTCCTATTAAACTTGCGAAAAAACTATGAAACGTTAACCAAATTTATTACGACTCACTTACCGGTAACGTGAATGTGTTTTTTGGGCGGATTTGACGATAAAAAGCTGGGGAAAAAGTAAAAGGTTAAGAAAATATTTAGTATTATTGGCAAATATGACAAAGACGTAAATTTAATCTTATACTTCTATAAAAAAAACTCTTTGAGAGATAACTTACCGAACGGAAGGATTTTGGGACCTAAAGTACTCAAAGTTTCTCATCTTGTCAGTCTTTATTTTATTTAAGTATCGTAAGCTTGCTTTTTCGTTTTGAGTAAAATTAAGTTTATCGATTTCTTTTAAGAACTGTTCTTGCACTAGAAGTAGAAGTAGACATGTTTTTGGTACGACACGAAAAAGTTTTTTTTCTAAGGCGATAACCATGAGAACTAGAAGGACCTAATTTGTAATAATTATCTCATTCCCTTATAAAAGAGATACGAATGTCACACAGACTGATCTGACTCATGAGTTAAATAAGTTACACAACTGGTTTATGGTTTTCGTAAGTCGCAGCACCTTATATTCTATTGATTTCTTAAATAATTTATTGTCCGAAGCGTAGCGAGGACACTTCTGTTACAGTCAAAACCATGCAATGTCCGTCTGTCTGTCACAGAATTAACCAATCAAATTTAAGATCAGGTGTAACATATACATGTGCCTTTCAATCGGTTGTTTAAATTTTATATCGCCAGAATTAACGAATTTTTCTTCACGTGATGCCGTTTTAAGTTATACATTTAAGCGATGTAAATTAACGCTTCGACGCATAACGGTTCCCGTTCTCTAGTATTATACATATTTATATACGTATAAGTGAAATAAGCTAAATATTAACGCAAGTTAAGATCGGGAATTTTATGGTTAAATATAAATCCGATTCTAATTTCAAATTAATTTAGCTATTTTTTTCGTCGAATAGTATTTATCGTGTTGAATCTGTTATGATTGAATTGCTCCTAATTAAAGGCATGAATTTAAGATTTAGAATTCAGTTAAAGTTAAACAATATTCAGGATTAATTTGATACTGAAATATTTTTGATTTTTTAAATGTCAGTCGCGACATCCTAAAGAATTGATGTACTCTAATTGTATTTTATATAGTTTAATCACATGCAGTGCAAATAATTTTTTTTATTAACCTTATTTATTTCATAATTATTTACATGAAAGGTTTACTCTAATTATTTTTAACTTTGCAAGAAAAATCATGTTATTATCGTGCTTGCCCATATGATTAAGACGATCTTTTTTTTAATTTTTTTGTGATATCACGAAGCTTATTTAAAAATTAACTATACTATAATATATTTTAAGCTAATAAATAAAACCTTAAGAAATACTTATTTTATACATAGTGGTTGACGAAAGGGATTTTGTTATTGTTGTAGTATTAAAGATGTATTCTATCTATATTTTCAAAAAAATTTTAGGATACTAAAATAACCGAAATAACCGAATGTATTTACCATTAAAAATTTGCCATAGCTTGAAATATAGTTATTTTAGCAATAATATTTTAATATCATGAACAAAAATTGTTAATTGAGTCTTACTTTTTTTATTGAATAAAACAATTTGACGTGTATGAATATATTATTAAGTTTTTAGGAGTTTCTTTCAGTAGGTTTTTCAAAAGTAAAATTCGACTCGAATAAAAATTTGGGAGGTTGCTATTAAAATCACGTTACGATAACTCGACCCATTTGTTAAATCAAATTATTAAACTTAAAAAAAAGTAAATTTAACTTTTTAGTAGTTCTAAAAAGTGATTCTTTCATTTTATTAGAAGAATCTAGTAAGTAACGAGTAAGAGAATGAAAATGAACTTTCACTTCTTAATTCTTATAAGTTATTGTGCTTTGCAATGATTAATATCAAAGTTATCGTCCAATTCATAATGGTGATCGGTAGCCACTGACGTAGCTAAATCTAACTAATCGTCATTTTATTAAAGAACAAAATTTCTAGTACCTAAAAAAAAAAAGTTGGTTTTAGGATATAGTCATTATCTCGTGAGATTATGAAATCTATCCGCAGAACGAAAATGATCTAGCCTTTTATAATGATTTCGCATATCACTGATAAAATTTCGTATTAATTTGTTCCTAATTTATCTTTAGCGTGTGAATCCGAAATAAATGGCTAACGGAAAAAATTAAAATATGAATATAGAACAGAGCAACTCTCGATTAATTTTTAAATCTATATTCGCATATCCTTAACCACAACGAAAGAAAAAATGCTTAATTTGAGTTCATTAGTTAGTTCTTTGGTCTTAATATTTATAGGTTGGTTTACCTATCCTATAAAGTATATATTTATCCATATTACATTTCTCCTTTGAGAACAATTCCTGGTCCACCATCGGAAAATCTTCTTTATGGAAATCTTAAAAGATTTTTCGTAGAGGAGGTAAGTTAATATTTTAATTATAACTGATTTTAAACATTAAATGGACAAATATTCATTTCATTTATGTTTAATTTAGGCTGGTGAACCACATATTAGATGGGTAAAAAAATATGGAAATTTTGTTAAATATCACAGATTATTAAATAAACCGGCCATAGTTGTTACGGATGCAAAATTAATACAAGATATCGTTTTAAATCAAGGGTATGATTTTGTCAAGTCTCTAGATTTAAGGGGTGAATTTAAAAAAATTGTAGGTCAAGGTCTTGCTGCTGTAGAAGGAGAAACTCACAATAGGCAGAGAAAAATGATGAACCCCGCTTTTACTTATAATAACGTTAAAGTACTTATGTTTATTTTTAGTGAATATAAATTAAATAAAACAACTAAAATTTTTTTTTTTACACAATTTAGAATAAGGTTCCAATAATCGTTCGTGTAACTACTACGTTAAAAAGTTTGATAGAGGATTTAGTAAGCAGAGGAGAATCAAAAATTAATCTTACTGCTTATATCTCCAAAGCTACTTTAGATATCATTGGCTTAGTTGGTTAAGTTGCATTTTTTTTTTTTATATTTTATACCGTATGTGAATCTTATTAAGTTTCTAACTTCCGAAAATATGACTTTAGGATTTAATCACGAACTTAACTCATTAACATCTCCAAGTGAATTAGCAGAAGCTTATAACGACATTATTGGTGCAAAAATTTCTATTTTACGCATTAGTATTAGTATTTTATCTCTTTATGTTCCGTTTATTAGAAAAATTCCGATAGATATAAACAAAAGGTTAAATAATGCATTTAAAGTTATTGAACGCGAATCAAAAAAAATATTTGAAGAAAAATACAAGGATGATAAAGACAACAAATTGAATGGAAATGATTTATTATCTTTATTAATTCATATTAACAATACTTTACCTATTGAAGAAAAAATGACTGATGATGAGCTGAGATATCAGGTCGTTAAAAAAAGAATTTTTTTTTTTGTTGCAATAATGCAATTAATCATTTAATTAATTTTTTCAATGGATATTTTAGATTATGACATTTTTGTTAGCAGGACATGTAACTACAAGTAGTTCAACAAGTTGGGCTTTATATTTACTTGCACAACATCCACAAGAGCAAGACATATTACGTGAAGAATTAGTTAAAGCCTTCCCCGATGAATCAAAATTTAATCCCACCTTTGATGAAATTAATTCTTTGGAATACTTAAATTGCGTAGTAAAAGAAACGTTAAGATTATTTCCTCCAAGTACTGAATATATATTTAAATTTTTTAGCAAATTTAAATTTATAATAGCTTTATTGATTATCAAATTTCATTTTAGCTTCGGTTATTCAACGAACTAACATCAAGGATAAAGTTCTTGGTGAGCACTTTATTTTAAAGGTATGCTATTATTATATTCTAATATAGATACCTTCAAATTAGGTCAATCAAATAATAATGCCCATTTTATTTAATAGAATACTGCGATTGATATCCCAATCGCAACGCTACATAGATTACCTTCCATTTGGGGATCAACGGCTAATGATTTTGATCCAAAAAGGTGGTTAAACTCTTCTTTAATTAGAAACGTAACAAATTACAATTACTTGCCTTTTGGTCTTGGTATTAGGTCCTGTATAGGTAACAAATTGGCGTTAAATGAATTTAAAATATTATTAAGCATGCTAGTTAGAAATTTTACTTTTGAAACCGTTGAAGGACTTAATATTAAGAAAAGAGTTGGTCTTTTTATTAGAACTGATCCAGACCTTGAATTAATTGTTTCTAAAGTTAAAGTTTAACAAAATCATTATCATCATTTTTATCTTAAATAAAATATATATACTGTATATTTTCTTTAAAACTTCACAAACATTCGTCAAACGAGATTCCAATTATGATTAAGTAATATGACCACATTGCTTGTATTTAGTATAAGGTAAAAATGGCCGGTCGTTGGCATTACACGAATCGCCTAAAAAGAGAATGAAATTTTTTGTCGTTCAAAAGCCCAGAAATCCGGTTCACACTAATTAAATCACACTAAATTTTTTTGACTCGAGTCAATTCGAGAAATTGGCCTGAATTTCATAGTATCATGATAGCATTGGGAGTTATCCATGCGGCGTTCGCTTTGTATAGCTTATCGCAATGGCTAGTGATTCGGCGGTTCAGACCAGCTTTAAAAGTAGCCAGTTAAATTTTGATTCGAGTCAAAATTTTATAGACTCGAATCAAGTTTCGAGTAAGTATTCGAGTAAACTCGAATTATATTAATTAGAACCAAAGCTCAATGTTAACTACTCGAATTCTTTACTCGAGCTAACAACATAAACTTAGAGTGCATACAACAATACAACACTTTATTAAGATACCATACAATTTATTTCTTAAATTCTGGCCTGAATTAGTAAGTGAAATTTATTTTTAAAAAAGAAACATGTGTCTTTTTGATAGTATTTTTCCACCAGAAGATAGATAATCGAATTTAATAATTGATGTTTTTCTTGGCGAAAATTAATAAAATTTACTGAATTTCCTGAAAGTCAAACATGAGCTAGTTTATTTAACAAATCGTTACGGTACTGTATTTTGATCATCATATATGCTTTAATGTATATTTTAAATTTTAATTCACTGAAAATTTGCTATAAATTTGCTATAATTCGTACTAAAATTATTATATGATACACCTTATTTAAATAAAGTTTAATTTCAATACTTAAATTAAAAATTAATAAAATACAATTTCATTTATTATTTACTTTTATAATGTTATTTTAGTTATTTTTCGCTAAATTTCAAATTAGGAGATAGCCATCCCATGAAAAAATTGAACTCGAGTTAATACTCGAATACACAGTATTCGAATGCTAATGCTCGAATCATATATTCGAATTCTGGCTTGAATTCTGACTCGGGTACTCTTCGAGTCATAAATATTCTTGACTCTACTTG